CCAAAAGGTTATGTGTGACATTTTCTGCTTTCTCACTGATTCCTTTGATAGACCAGCAATGCCTAGTCTATCTGAAAATATAAACAGCTTTCAGTATTGATTTATTCCTGGAAACATGCTAATAACAAAATAAGATTTACTCATATAAGGATTGGGATCAGGAGTTCTTTGAAATTCAAGACAGGGTGTAAATTGCTGCAAAGGGTCTCTTTAATTGGGATCAAAACATTTTTGACAGCTTTTGGATTTAAAAATTCTAGCTATTGTCAGGTTCTGAAAATGTTACTTTCCTAGTTTTTTCTTTTTTTTTTAATGCAATCAAGCTTGAGCCAAAAAAAAAAAAAAATACCTTAGACAAGATGAACAACTAAGGTTTGTCATTCCACATGACAAAGGCCCAGTTTTCTATTTCTTTGATATGGAGAGCAAAATACTTCACTGAGATTCCTATGCTGCACAGTTCAGTCAGTCCCCTGCTGGGTAAGGACAAAGGTTCAGTAAACTGTTCCTGCTCATAATCTCCTGGAGGTTTTTCAAATAAAAAACATCAATAGGCACTATTTTAAGGGAGAAACAGAATCCTAAAACTCCTCTCAGAAGTCAGTTTGGATGTGATATTGCTCATCACCGCAACCTCTACCTACTCCCTTCAACAATGTCCTATGGGTCTCTTGTGGCTTGGCTACCCCCAGCGCCAGTGAACTCAGATCTATTTGACTCAGGTCTGCCTGCCAGAAGAGTCATCTTACTGACAAACTAAAACCGTTTTCTAGAAACTTCTATCAACAAGTCCTGGTTGCAACTGGTTCAAAATTTCATTCTCTGATCATAAGGAACAAGTTGGGTCCTTGTATCAGATACTCTGGAGTCTCATCTTCTGTTCTTGAGATGTAAATAAATTCAGTCCTTTTGACCGTCTTCCTGGGACTTGTGCTGAGGCATATTAACAAGCTCAGGTTGCAGAAGCTCCATGCTACAGAGGCCGGATGTTAATCAAACAGAACTGGAGGAGGCTAAGCCAGACAGAAAACATTTAACTGCCTCCTTCCTGATTCTCCACTAGGGATCTGACATTTTCTTCACAAAGCCAAATGGCTTTGGGCTGAAATGATGATTTTACTGTTGTTTTCTTTGTGTCCAGCTAAGGCCTCAGAAATTCTGCTTCAAGGTTTGATGGTATCTTTTGTGTGTGGAGGGGGGGCAGTTTAGCCACCTCTGAGAGAGGAAGTACATAAAGGTACAAAATGCAGACGACTCCTCATTAGTAAAAATCCAGACATTAAGACTTTAATTATCTGGGAAGAGCCTATTTGATGGATGGGGATAGGGTAAAATAGCAAAGTGTGAAAGAGGTTCCCAAAACAAGATAAAATGCCAGATACCCCGCATCCCTGCTTCTGTCCCTGTCGTCCCAATGATGGACAGGGCTGGGAAAGAGAAAGGCCTAGAGATAATATCATAACATTGGGACACATAAATCACTATGAAAGTATCTCTCAGTCGGGCTTGGTCCACAGTGCTGGGCTCCCATAAAGGACATAAAGGACCAGCAATGTTCTCCAAGTTTGTACAAGCCCCAAGTTGACCTCTGGCATACTTCAGGATCCCGGGAGGACATGTCTGTGTCTAAAAGACTTGGCCCAGCAGAGTTTTCAGTTCCCCAACTGACCTGGTCCTCCTCATCAGACTTGCCAATATCTTTTCCAAAATGTGAGGTTAAAAACTGAGCGCAGGGAACTGGGGTGGTGGCTCAGTGGTAGAGTGCTTGCCCAGCACGTGTGAGGCACTGGGTTTGATCCTCAGCACCATATAAAAATAAGTAAATAAAATAAAGGCATTCTACCCATCACAACTTAAAAAACCAAACAAGCCAACAAAAAACCGAGCGCAGGGGGCTGGGGATGTGGCTCAAGCGGTAGTGCGCTCGCCTGGCATGCGTGCGGCCCAGGTTCGATCCTCAGCACCACATACAAACAAAAACGTTGTGTTCGCCGAAAGCTAAAAAAAAAAAAATAAATATTAAAATTCTCTCTCTCTCTCTAAAAAAAAAAAATATTAAAACAAAAACAAACAAACAAACAAAAACCGAGCGCAGGTCTCCAAAATACAATCTTTCCAGGAAAAGACAAAAACTCATCTTGCAACAATGCTGGGTACATTGATGAGGGGAGGAGAAGCTTTTGCTAAACTCTTAATCCTGCTAAATCCAAGCCCATTTCCTATCGATGCTTGTGCCCCAATCTAAACTCCCTCTACCAAGGCCTGTATGGACAGGCCCACCTTTCCCCATGGTATGGAGGTAAACTGCATTGATTTTTGATTCATGCCAATCTGAGAATAAATCTCTGTTCTGCCTCCTGGGCATGAGGTTGTTGTAAATAGTTTAAAATTTTCTGAATATTATGATGTTTTGGCATTTTGAAATACATTTCTGGCTGGGGAGGCACTGGCACTCTAGGGCTGGTCAATTCATAGACATAGCCAAGGCCCAGCCAGGAGCAAGTCTTTGACAGGCAAACTTACCAATCCGGAGGCAGACAGAGGTGATCTTCTTCTGCCTTAATCTCCCCAGAGCAGGTACTAGGCAACTGGGGTCCACCCCTATAGCTCAGCACCAGAAAGAAGTGTTCCAACTAACCAGTCCTCAGCTATCCATCCTGCTGTACCTTGAATTTTCCTATGGAAACTCCAACAAAGGCCTTGGCCTGAGGGCTCCCTCCATTCCCCTCTTCTGCCTCCAGCCACCCCGGAGTCTTTCCCAAGTGGCCTTGTGTGGCACATTGTGCTCCTGTCTTGGACATGTTGATAAACAAATCCCAGGGGAACTGTAGGAAGTCACTTATCTGAGACAGACAACAAGCAACATGGATAAGCAAAAGGTCCCGTGAGCCAGGTTACTTGGGTTCTAAGCTTATCTCTATCACTGCTTATTTTCGGCAGGTCATGTCATGTTTCTGTTCTGGGTGTCTTCCAACTATAATGCAGGGACAATGATAGCATCTCTCCCTTGGGTGCTTGTGAAGAGTACTTATACAGAACTTAGGGCAATGCCAGGCACCTAATGTACACTTGATGAAATAGCTGCTACGGTGGGTTATGTATGAGTGTGTCCCCCAGGGGTTCACAATCTGGAGAGTTGGTCTTTAGTACAGCAATGCTGAAACATGGTTTGGAGCCTTTCAGGAGATGTGGCATAATGGGAGGTCCTTTGCTGAATTAGGGGAGTAAGGGGACTGAGGGATCCCAGTCTCCCCCTGGCTTCCACTTTCAAGATATGATCTCTTCTTCTCTCTCACCTGCTTGCACTACTGGTATACCATCCACCCTGAGGTCCTTACCAGAGCCAAGCTGGGGGCTATGTCTTTAACCTCCAAACTGTGAGCTGCATACATCTATTTTCTTTATAAAGTCAGCCTACCTTAAGTGTTTCATTATGGCAACAGAAAAGTGGATGAACACAGTATCCACTTTTAGGATGAAATATTATTATTTCACAGGACTGTTTTGAAGACAAAACTGGATAATACATGTACAAAGACCAACCTAGACTATAGAAGGTATTCAAAAACTGGTTGCCATTATTTTATACCATGGTAAAGTATATATACATAAAACTTATTGTAGTAACTATTCGCAGTGTCTGGCTCAGTGGCATTAAATGTATTCATAGATTTTTGGAGCTGTCACCACCATCCACCTCCAGAACATTTTCATCTCCCCCAACCAAAAAAACCCATGTCTATCAAGCAATAGCTCCCCCTCCTTCCTTTTCCTGGAAATTATCATTCCACTTTCTATCTCCACGAGCTCCACACTCTGGGTACCTCATACAAGTGGGATCACCCAGGACTTGCCTTTTTGTTGTAGCTTACTTTGCTCAGCACACTGTCTTTGAGTATCACAGGTTGAAGAATGTGCTGGAATTTCCTTCTCTCTTAGATTGCATTCTATCTAGATGTGACCCTTTATTCCTCTGTCACTGGACACTAGGGCTGCTTTCATCATTTGGTTATTATGAATAATGTTACAGCCAATATCTGTTCTATTACTAGTTATTTAGAAGCAATTTTTCTATAGTTCTGTTCTTTCTTCAAAAAAAAAAAAAATACATTTTCACTTTTAAATGATTACCTGACCACCCTCATGTTATCAGTCAGAACAAGGAAGAGAAGCTAAAACTGCAAAATGACCAAGGTCAAAAAACTCGGTTGGTGGAGCATTATTTATAAAGTGCTTGATAAATTATCTTTGGGAAGTTCAAAGGAGGTGATGTACATGGAGGTGTTTTATAAGCTGCATAATACTGAATGAATTAAAGACTAAAAACCCATTGGAGTGTCACTCTCTCAGTACAACAGATCACAGAATGTTTTTCTGTTTTTCCCTACCATCCATGAACGAGATCGACGGTGTCAGGCAAGCTCTGGGGATGAATATAGGAGTTAATTGCAACTGTAAGGTTGATGAAAACACAAACCACTTCTTTGGTGGGTTCAAGAAACATATCAACCCTTACATTTCCTGGTTGGCGGTAATAGATTTTATTTTTAAGACGGAGAACTCTATTTATTCTTTTTGATTACAGCAATTGTAAGGTGCTGGGGGTTAAACTCAAGAGAGCCTGGATGCTTTGACCAGTCCAAAGACCTACAATGTGTCTCCCTGTAGGATGCATGTCATCAAAGTTGCCAACACACAAAGAAATTTAACTTAAACTGTCATATTACCACCGCTCTTCAAAGCTTATCAATCTCTCCTAAGATTACCAGCATGGTGTGACACTTTTATCACAATTACACTGTAACAATCACGGTGCAGTCACACTGTGGCCAAGTCAGCAAAGGGACTTGCTTTGATGGACGATCACAGTTGATCAAGTTTGTCAGATGCTTTATGTGTTTTTATGCTTGTTTGATATTCCCGCCCAGAGAGTAGAGGCTTTTAAGGGCACATCTGTCAATGGACTCAATTTCACGTCGCCAGGCGATTCTTTCACTTACCCCTGTCTTCTCATCAAAGATTTTGATCCCTCCAAAGGAGATGGTTAAAAAGATTTTCTGTTTGTGTTCTCCTTTGGAACGAGCGCCAGCAACAACGCCCTGTTGAAAGGAAGGACATAGTTTTTACCTTTGTGCTTTCATTTGAAAATTCCCTTGGGTCCCCAAGGCATGTCAGAGACCCTCAACCACTGCCACCAATCATGCACACCCTTTCCCTCTGCCCTGCGATGATCTGTGCACAAAGTGCTCACATCTGCTTGATGTCTTAGAGTAATAATTGACTTAGCTGTTCCAACACGGTATAAACACATACTTAAACATTCATTCTAACCAAGATTTAGAGAATGCCTACTGTGTGCCTACATACTTGGTTCAGAGTTAGGGATCCCCAACTATACACAATGTGGACCTCATAATAATATTTTCACTGGATTGTATGGTGGATATGGATTTAATCTTTTCAATAAAGGTGAGTCACTAGATATATGCCTAAAGGTGATTTTATTTTTGTACTTCTAGAAAAGACTTTTGTATGAAATCAATCCTACAGATTAGAAAGAAAATAAAGGGAAAGATGCTAGACTGTATGTTTTATTTTTGTTTGGAAAAACATGATCATCACCTACTGCTTACAATTTTTATCCAAAGACATTTTGCATTTTCTATTATCTTTTCCCCTACCATTCCTGCACTTTCAAGAAAAACACCAAATGCCTTCCATTGTTCAAAACATCTATTTCCATACTTCCCCAAACTTTTTATAAACTGATGTGTGTATGTGTGCATGTATATATCTCTATCTCTATATAGCTGTCAAGAAGGCAAATGTCACAATAAGTAGGAATGTTACTTTGCTTATATTCTATCCCTAGTGCTTACAACAGTCCCTGGAGGATAGCAGATGCTTAGCAAATAATTGTTAAATGAATATGAACTATCTGGAGACCAACTTCCAAAGCTGATAAGATTCATGTGATGAGTAAGGATGGTTGCTTTTAAAATAAATTAGACTCTGTGGCCGAGGTAAGTACAGGCTTCATACAAGGGCATACCAGGAGAGTAAAGGCATTTCTAGGGTCTACGCCAAGGGCTGTTACAGACTCTCCATTAATGTCTTGAAGCTCCCCACTCCATCATGTTTGAGTCAACAGACTGTACGATTAAGCCCACCTTTCAGTAGTCACAGCACTGGGCTTTAAGAAGTAGCAAAGTCTAAAATCACATTGATTTCTGTTCCCAGGAGATAATAGTAGTTTGTGCTGTTCACAGGACAGTACATTCTCAGGACCAGGTTTTGGGAATGTGTAGTGGTAGAGAGACCTGAAAGAGGTACATCCTCTTGAATTTGTCTGCTTATCTTCACTTTGGGTGTTGAAAAATATTCTGTGCACTCAGAATATTTTATTATACTCTTGGTTCTATGTAATCCTGGACAATTACTTAGCCTATGAGTTCCATTTCCTTAAGTGTAAGTACTTTTTTTGAATTGTTAAGAGAATTAAACATTTTTTTGTAAAGTAGCTAGCATGGTGTACCAGGGTATACTATACAATTTAACAACAATGAATTTCTTCTAGTAATAAATGAATATCCATGAAAACTTTAGTCCAATCCCAGCTTGGATACCTACTAGTAGGAAATTCATCTGGCATCAGTTGCCCACTAATTCTCAAACACATGTTACTCATCGACTGACACACAGAACATTAGAATCAGAGAAAAACCTTAAAACAAAGTTTTCCAACCAAGGATGAGAAAACAATGTTCCCAAAGGTAGTGGGCAGTTCTGAGATAGCACAGAGAATTAGGGGAAATGCTGAGACCATAACTCAGCCCTCCAAACTTTGTTCTGGGAGCAATAATTATTTTGTTCTTTCTAGAAAAACCAGATCTCTCCTATCTAATGTCCCTCTTCCAGCCTCAGGACTAATAGCTACCCTCTAGTTGGTAAGACTATGGTTTACTTTCAAAGTAAAGCACTTTGTTCACATCCCACATAACACAACTTTAATCCAATGGTCTGTAGATTCCTCATTGTGCTGTTGGCTTTTGAATTCCCTGTGGATACTCTTAAGGAACATGGTGGAATGGTTAATGTTCATCTTTGGAATCCCAGAGGTAATTCCTGTTTCCCTTTAGTGTCATGCTCTCTGACTCCCTTAGCCAATAGAGAACCCTCTTCATGCCAAACTACACTTCATTCAGTTTTTTCCTGGCACTTACTGCCATCTGGCATATCACATAGTCATTGGTTGATTTTTCTGTCTTTGTCCAGAGGAACGAAAGCTCACTTGTGCATACCTGGTGCTGAGAATGGGACCTAGCATACAGCAGGCACTAAAGGAGAAGTGAGATGGCTTTCCCTCATTTAGGTAGTAAATGAGAGGACCAGTCAAATGTTGAACCTAGGAAAATTTGACTTTGAAATTGGTGTTGTTGGCTGCATTTGAGTAAAATAGCATATGCTGCCACCACACCATACCCCGATCTCCAACCTCAAGTATCCAGATGAGACAGAATAAGTAGCCCCTTGGTGGGCTCTGAATGTGTCTCCCCAAATTCATATGTTGAAACTTAACTGCCAATGTGATTTCATTTAGGAGGTGATTAAGTTACAAGGGCAAAACCCTCATAGAGGGGATTGGGGCCCCCGTAAAACAGCTTGAGGAATGTATTGTTCCCTTTTGTATCTTTGTAGTTCTGCCACATGAAGACAGTGTTCATCCCCTCCAGAGAACTCCAATATGAGGCACACCTTAGAAGACAGAGGCTGGACCTTCACTAGACCCTGAACTGCTGGCACCTTGATTTTGGGAGTGGCCAGTATCCAGAACTGTCAGGGAATACATTTCTGTTCTCAATAAATTACCCAGTTCTGGGAATTTTGATTTAGCAGCACAAATGGACTAAGAGAGCACCTTATTAGAGGAAAGGATTGAGAGGACTGATTCAGAGGGGAGGAGAGCCCCTCCTCCTCTATTCCTCCCAGGGAAGGATGTCTCAGGACAGGGCAGGGAAAGGGTTGCACCTTTGGCCAGGAAGAGTAGCTTTAATGTCTCTAACTCCAAGATGAATCTTCACAGTCCCTAGGCTTGCAGAATCCTGGAATATCAGATAGCAGTACTTCCTGGTACATGGCAGTGCCCAATAGATATCAAGGCTATCTTTGCTTGCTGGTTCCAAGTACCTGTCAAAGACTCTCTGGTAGAAGATTGTGGTACATAAAAAAGAATGGAAAGAGTCAATATGCATGTTCCTGCAGGCTTGGTGCTTGGGCTGCTGGTCTTGGCTTTACATGATAAATGAAAGAGAGAAGGATTACCCACATGGTGCAATCTTTTTGGAAATAAAAGTCCAACTTTATTAGCCATTCTTTCTCTTGTAAAACAGGACTCTGCATAAAGCTCTGAAAATCTGCACTAAATCTAGGCAGGCCTGCCACCACAGCATGCCTCAGGGACTCTTCTCCCATAACAATATCCACTGTGTTATGTAGCACTAGTGGGGGTGCAGAACACAGCCCTGGTTGGGGAGTTTGATGCTGCCTATGTAGGTGCCATCTGGGCCTCTGTACCTAATATCAGCCACCTGACCCCATAAGTTAACACTGGAAACCAGGAAATTGGGACATCAAACATTTTATTGGGTGTCTACTCTATGTTAGAAGTTTTCTTACGTGTCATTTTATTTAGCGCATACCACAGTTTTGGGAAGTAAGAATTATCTCCTTCAATTCATAGATAAGGAAACATGAGATTAAGGGTCAAGTGACCTCCCTAAACCTAAAGAAGAAAGTCAGTGAACTGGAATTAAGGCAGTGATCTTTCTGATTCTAAATGTAGGAGTCATTCTACTATAACCCTCTCTTCTCAAAAAGATTTTTTTCTGGGAAACAGGTTTTTAAAAATTGACCATGCCATATTAAAATGTGTCCCAAAATTTCTGAAGAGAGCTCAGTGGAGAGGAGGAACTCTAAAACTTAGAAACACATTTCTTTCCCTATAACTGTTGGGACAGTTTAATGAACTTATGTGCATAACACTGTCAGCATGGAACACAGGGGACAATGGTCCATGATCGTTATCATTATTGTCTGAACTATTGGTATTTCTGAGAAACACCATGTACTAGGTTCTGTATGATATGGCTGGCATGGACATCCCAAAGGATGCCCAGGTAGACAGTATCTTAGGGGAGGAATTTACCCTAGAGAAAAGGTCAGCCAGACCAGGCAGGATTAGCAGGCTGCCTATTCAGCTCAGAGGATACTTTGACCATTAATTAAGATGACATACAAGAAAGGGCTTTGAGAACACTCCCACAGCAAGGAGCATGCACACGATATCATGACGGTGATCTCCACACATAAAGCACACGTGTAAACACAACAGGCTACAGATACAAATACTGGAAACCTTAGGATGCTATTTCAGAAAGCCCCACATAATAAACTTAGTCTCTGTTCCCAGGTCTGTTAGTTACTAGCTTGACAATCTTAGAGGGAAATATCCATCTTAAATTTCATTTTTCCTAGTTAAAAAGGGATGATCAATAACTTTCTCTGTCCTGCTTTGTGCCCTAAGACAGTCCCATGGAGACTCTATTTCCTGGTGTCTGAATCTTCCTTCCCTCTGGCTTCCAGTTAAGTTCCACTATGAAAGATACAGACAGGAGATCAGAGGGTGGAAGGAGGGAGACATCGGGGTATTTTTCTTGACTTCTCTTTATTGATCTGTATCTCTGGTTGCATTTTTTTGTTTGTTTTTTTTTAAATTTGAGGAAGGGGCCTTCCTTATCTGTTGTATTTTTCCTAGGTTCCATTAAAGATTTTTTTTTTCCCATAGGTTCCTAGGAGTGGAAACAGCCTCTCACTATTGTGAGACTCTGGGTGCCTCACCACCCTCGCCACCTTGCCTTCCCTTTGCAAATATCTCCTTCATTAAAGTGTCCTCATCTGACCTGGGTAGGGTGAATTCTGCCTTCCAGGACCCTGAGTGATATACTTGAGGTTCTGTACTCAGCTTGCCAGGCACTGTCTTTGGGAGATGGCATCTTCTCCCGTGATTTCAATCATCATTGTTTTATCAAATGTCTGAAAGTTGGTTATCTGAAAAGCCAATGGCTGTGGCTGTTAGATGGTAGCTTATGGGTAGGAGATTAAAATCAATTTATGAATCAAGATGAATTAAATGCAACTACAAAACACAATATAATTAAGAGCTAAACTATGTCTTGTCAAACACCGGGCCTCTGGAGATCTAGGTTTGAGTTCTCTCACACTCAATGAAGATGGCGAGGCAAATTCTTTAACCTCTCACAACCTCAAGTTTGTTGGTTATAAAACAGGAGGCTGATGTTTATCTCATAATATCAAAAGAGATAATACACATGACAGTGCTTTCTTGACTCTAAATTGAAATATGACAATGACAATGATGATGGTGATGATGGTATGCCTGGCACCCAGGCAGTGCCACTCACGCTCACAACATGAATCCCCTCTAAAACCTCTGTAATCGAAGACAAAAAAGCCCCTGTGACAGGAAAATGCACTAGCTTCAGGAAGTCTAGCAAGGAAAAAATTAATTTTTTCATTTCTCATCTGGCAAGTGGGCCTTTTCTCAAGGCTAAGAGGCACTTTGTTCTTATCTTTCTCTTACTTTCCTGGGAAGGTGGCCAAATAGAGAATAGATCATTAAGATTTCTATGTTTCCTAAAGAAAAACCACTGGGAGCCAAAATGTCATCACACTTATTAGCAACTTGCAAATAATGAAACATAACTGTCTGGGAACCAAGAACCCTTCAATAAGTTTACTGCACCTGACAGGAGTATGTTATGGCAGGACAAACTCTCAGGGCTTTGGGGATCTCAGAGTTATGAGTGGTGACAGATGGAACCCAAAACTGCATGTAAAACACACACACACACACATGATTGACAGTCATTGCTAGCTCTGGTCCAGCTGGCTTGGCCCAATCTCAATCCGAAGGGAGAACCTTCAGAGAACACAGGCAAACCCTTGCTGCACATCCACTAAGACACCACAGCTTCCAAGAGATAGTTGTGCAATGAGGCACTCCATGACAGGTGCCATGTGGCCATGTATCTAAAGTCAGATGCCTGGTGAGTGGTTCTTTTCTGGATATGGGGGAAGGAAGATGCATGAGCTCCTTTCTCCGTTTAAGCCGACCTGTGGCTCTGGGTGGGAAACAGGGAGGATTAAGTAATGACATTTTAGTGATTTTTTTTAAAATTCAAGTTTGTCAGGAACAAATCTCTATTTTATTTTGGCCTGATTTCATAATTGTAATGAGGAACTCCAGCAAGAATCAAGATCCAGGCTTTATTCCCTTTTTTCCCCAGTTCCCCTTAGGTTGGCAGATATAACTCTATCTAACAGGGGAGTTGGAAGAAGTTGAAAACAAGAGGCTTCACCTCTTCAGGACTTTCTGTGCCTCACTTGCTAGTAGACAGTTTGCTTTCTGATCTGATTCCATGCACAAGTCATGGGTTCTAGTCTGGGACAGGAAAGGGGCTGGGGAAGCAGAAGGACTGTAGTTATCCAACTGTTCCACAAACTGAGTGCAATAGTCTGTTTCATTTAAGATGCCCATGTGACCATGTATCTAAGTCAGGTGTTCCAGACCAGCAACCATCAGAGACAAAGCCGGGAGGTAGAATTCTTCCTGGCCAATTACTTTTTGCATTTATCATTCAGATGTGAACTTAGAAGAAACAGAGAGCTCATTATTGGACTTCTCTTAAACCTCAATAATGATTTTGATGTCTTTTATATATTTTTCTTAAATTAGGCAAGATACTATACCTTATAGTAGATATAAATAAATGTTATCTTATCAGTTACATATTACAGCTTAAAAAAACAAAAAGAAATTAATGGATATCCAGTAGAAAATCAAGAGTTTTTAAAATTCTAATTCCTATAGCCATACTATAGGGGAAATTTAGCATTCAATATACATGGTAAGCTGCTAAGAAATAGCAAGAGCAAAAATAAGCTTTGATTATTAACCATCTGAAAGGATAGGTGATACAGAGGGCATTTTACAGACTTTATCTCACTTAATACTTTAAAACATTTTACTGGGCTTGGTGTATTTTTCTTTTCTTCCTTTTTTTCTTCTACTTACAAATATTCCACTGACCAAGTTTTGTCCTCATGGACTATTTGAAGATTTGGTTAAAAATGCTCACATACATTATTAGATGAGAAAAAAAATAAAATATGCAACTATATAAATTATTTAATTTCAACTTGATTAAATATGTAAGAATTTATATACACATAAAAACACACAATGACTGTAAATTATACACCCAAAACTGTAACACTAATCGTCTTTGTGGGATTTTTGGATTATTTCAATTTTCTTCCTTATACTTCCTATATTTTCACAATATTTTATAATGAACATTTATGAACTCTATAATCAGAAAAACAAATTGTATATGTTTTAAATGCATAAAATATTTTTAGACTTCTTGCTAAGTCTTTTGTTTTTCTAATATTTTGTTTCACAAAATAAACAGAATGTATGAAGACCACAATCTGGAAAAAAAACAGTATTCCTTTTGTATATTTTTTAACAAACTGATTTGTTTATTTATATATTTAAAAATTTCCCAATTTCTTTGGTTAGTTTCTTAGTGAAAGGCTTTTTCATAGCATTAAAAATGCTAAAAAAAAAAAAAATCACAAAGAAACCTCTTTGTTATATCTCCAAATTCCAGTATCTAGTTATGGATGATTTAAAAATATTATTTTTTTTCTGTTAAAAAAGTGTTTGGAGTGCATTAGTAGAAATTACAAGAATGAATAAAATCAGCTTTCACCTTAGCATCTTTTACCATATGACAAAATATGTAAAAATCAAAAATAATAGAGTGGCAAAAATTCCGAAAAATGTGACAGACTAAACAATTTGACAAGTTTGTAGTCTTATTTTTACTTGGGCTGCAAAATAAAGACATAATTGGGTAAAATATGATGATTTCAAAACTTATAAAGCAAGACCTAGCAAAAATACCTCCATATAGTAGATCCTCAGTAAACATTCACAGAAACACTGAAGTCTCTTCCCAGTGAATAAATGTGTAAGTCAATCATGAACAAAGTAAATTTTGCCATAATAATGGCGATCAACACTTCCCTTTATTCACCCCTGGATAATTAAATGACAGGTACACAGCACCTTGAGTTTCATCATGGAGTCTTGACATAACTTGTCTCCCCGAGCTGCGGAAACTTCATCAATCCCGATCAGTTTGGCTTTGTACCGGACCCCTTCACCTTTAAACCTCTTTATCAAAGTGGCTTCACTGCGATCCTGACCTGAAAACAGAGAGACAAAGATTCAGATATGAAGCTGTTGAGATCCAATTGTCACTGTGTGTCTTCATCTGTGTCCTGTGGAAGTCAAATCATGGGGCATGGCAGAAAAAAAAAAAATGAGTAATATCCCTAGATGCAAATTCTGGCTGTATCCACTGAAATACTGAGGCAAACTACTTCTCCTTGAGCCTCATCTTTCTTAGGCAGAAAAATTACAAGAACCATCCCAATGAAGAATGCAGACAAATAAATCTGACAATATATATATATATATATATATATATATATATATATATATATATATAAAGCATCTAATTCCGTGTTAAGTGAGAATCACCTACTAAGAGTTCACGTCCAAGAGTCTTGTTGGGAAAGCATCAGCACTGACTCTCCAGTATCCCAACATTTAATAGTGCTTTGGCAAGGGTCCAAGACCTCCTTTACACCCAATTCCATGGGCTGTTTTATAGGGAAACTCAAGAGTAATTGCTTTGTATCAAATAATGACCCAGGATGATTATCCAAAAAATGGTTTTATGATATCTCTTCTGCTAACTCATGAGTTTAGGGAAATTGGCTTCACACTATGTGGAATTGAGTGACCATACCTTGCAACAGGCCCTCTCAATAATTATCAACATACTTACCATTATGTTAATAATATTTTATTAATATAAATAATATATTATATATAATAATTATTATTAACATAATATTTTGCTAAGACCCATCAACCAGGGGTTTAAACAAACCCCCCATAAAGTCAGGGCTATGAAATTGCCGTGAGCTGAGCAAGGGATTTGTGCAGGAGATTTCATAAACTTTTTATCCACTCTTCACAATGACCAAACCATTTCCGTTTTCCAGGTAATTAAGACAGTCTCAGAACTCAGGTAGCTTGTCTGGGCTCCCAGAGTCAGAAATAGGTTGAATACGTGGGCATTAAAAGCCCTCTGTAAGCTCACCATAGTTTGCCTACTGTGTCGTCTGGGCACTGCACACTGGTCCTCAGAACTGGGTACACACAGCCCACTGATGCTCATTAGCTCCAGCTCCTGATTCCTTCTCTATCATGCCTCCCCTCGTGGTCAGAAACTTACCGTTGAGGGCATCAGAGATAATCCAGTCCATTTCTTCCAGCTAGGTCATGTTCAATCAAAGGCAGCTCTATGTGTGGCTGAGAATTATCTGAGGATATGCTTAAAACAAAAAGCCCAATGGCCACAGCTTACCACACTGTAGTGCTTTTCTGCTGAGAAAACATGGCTTTCATTTCATTCATTTATTCACTCATCCCTTAGCGAGCCTTTCCTCTGTGCCAAATGCAATTACTCACTGGCAACAGATGAAGAAGACAAAAATTGGTGCCCCCAGAAGCTCCAGGTTGGTGATGTAAATAAAAATGTATAGAACATTATGCTAGGTGTGTAAGAGGTTTCCCTCCCACGTCGACTACACTGTCTGAGCCTTAGTTCTTTATCTGCTAAATGAGGACAAAGGTCTCCCATAGCTTATGTAGGTTACTACAAATATTATGTGCAAAACATGGATTCATTCTCATGGTGAGCTTTCTACTAATGGTAGCTGTTGCCACTATGATCAGCCCAGTAAGAGAAGCACTACAGAGGGCAGGATGCTGGCAGAGGGGAGGCCCAGAAGAAGAACATCTGCAGAGCTAGGCCTGGACATCTGGTCTGCCACTTCTAGTTCTCATTTGCACTGCACTCCGTGACTCCTACATGATCAAAGCCTTTGAACAATATCCATAAAGCAAACAGAAGGCCTAGGTGATTAGTCAGAGAATATAACCAATGTGAAAATTAAACCTCAGGGTTCTGTGAGGGCATGTCCAACACCAGAGCTGAGAACATTTGCTGCCATATGCCTTTGATGGGCACCTAGCTAAGTGACAGGCCCTGCAGTCCCACAGTCCCCTCTTCCTGACTCACTATTTAAAGTTGGGTTGGGGTGACCTACAGTTTGGTCTGAGGTTACCTCTCTGCCTTGTCAACACATTACATTGTTTCAGTCACAAATAATGTTCCTTCCACTATTGGAACCTCCACCATCCCCAAACTTTAACTGGAATAACATCTATCACAAAGCATGCACCAATGTTCCTAGAAGAAATTCCTAGAGGTAGATAACAAACACCGAAATTGAATCAGAGAGGCCCCATAACTTGTCCAAGTTCCCCGAGAAGGACATGACCCAGATTTTTACTATGCCAAGCCCATGCTCAGGATTTGTTTGTGTTCCGTGTTCTCAAAGCTGTTCTCTCAACCACTGTGATTAATTGTCTCTCATCAATCTAACTTCCCTATAAAGGCCTAACTTTACCTTCTACAAAAACATATCTGGTCCAAATCTGTAATATTAAATATAAATACACTGACAGGATGAAAACGCCATTGCAGGTTAGAGAGAAAGCTTGGAAATGGAACAAACACTTGCAGCACCCACTCATGTCCAAAAAAAAAAAAAAAAAAAAATTGTCCACGAGTCAGATACAAAGAGATCCTTAAGAAACGTGAGTCAGGGTGCAGAACTCTGCTGAGGAGAAAGATTCACAAGAGGAGGCAGAGCCAGATCAGGTGAATAAGGGCAGAGATTAATAAGAAAATATTAGGCCATTTAGAGTAAAGCAGGGAGCCCAATTTAGATTAGGACACAGGGCCAAGCTAATTTGTATGAAGGGCACTTAGGCAGTAGATAATCTAGTTTCTCATTAAATGTTCCACCATTAAAAGGGTAATTTTTCATGAGCACATCTTGAACAAGGTCTCCGTTATATTAGTTAAGAAATAAATAATGGGTATCAAAGCCATAAGGCTGTAATTCCACCAGAGGCACATACAGTTTGAGGGTGTTAGGGACAGGGTCAGTCTTCATGCATGTTCACATCATGAATCACAGCCTAGTTTGGATATGAGAAAGGCCATGGGTTCAAGGGACACCATCAAAATGGTCACTCTTATCACGTATTTACTATGTTGGTCACTATGCCCAGTGTGTCACATCAGCTGATTTCTCCTTTAGTCTTCACAATGCTGTTTGAGTTAGGTTCTCTAATGAGTACGATTTCATAGAAGACCAACACCAAAGTCCAGAGTTGACAGAAGAGTCTATGTTTTTAATAACAACTCCATTGAGACATAATTCGCACACTATAAATTCACCCTTTTAAAGAATACAACTCAGTAGTGTTAGTATATTCCCAGTTATACAACCAGCACTGCTGTCTAGTTTCAGAATATTTTCATTACTCCAAAAAGACACCCTGTGCCCATTACCTATCACTCCCCTTTCTCCATTCCTTCCAGGGCTAAGTAGTTACTAATCTCTGTCTCTATGGATTTATCCCTTCAAGCAATCTTATGTCATTGGAATCTTATAATGCATATATTTTTGGTGTCTAGATTCTCTTACTTAGCAGCAGCATGTTTTTGAGCTCAGTACGTATTGGCAATTCATATCTATTTTTCCTTGAACATTATTCCATTGTGTAATTATATCACATCAGCTGTTGCAATTTAGATTTTAGATTGTTGCCAATTTTTGGAAACAATCTATTATGAATAATGCTGCTAAATACTTTTAAGTATTTGTGTGGATATGTTTTCAAATCTCTTAGTATTATACCTGGGAAAGAAGATGCTAGGTCATATGGTATATTTCTATTTTTCACTTTTTGAGAAACCATCAGACTTTTTCCAAAGTGACTATACCATCTCACTAGCAAATTTGGAGATCCAGGTTCTCTACCAGATGTTCTTCCCAACATATGGTATTGTCTTTTTACTTTAGTAATTTTAGTGGATGTTAAGCAATATCTCATTGTGGCCCTGATTTGCATTTCCCTAAGGATTCAGGATGCTAAGCACAAGAAAACACTTTCTTTCATTTGCATATATTTTTTGGAGAAATATCTATTAAAACCCAGAGCCTTAATTTGAATCCAGATCTTGTGCAAATTTCATGGTTTTAACCCTGAGGCTGAGCTTCCTGTGACCTCACTGCACTCTTATTTAGTGCTTTTAACTTTGTGCCACAGCTATTTGAGTCTTAAGCAGCCTAGAGTAAATCTACAAATCTTCCTGGAAACAGGCATTGGTATTATTCTGCAGATAAACTATAGCCAGAGAAGGAATTAAAAGTTATTTTCAGTTGAGTTGGGAACAGTTTCTCACCCTGTTCTACTCTAGGACCTGAGTTCTTCTGCTGGGAGACAATGGGACTTAAGGGTCTAAAACGTGAGCTCTGCAGGCAGGACCCAGCCATCTGAGTCACTCTCTTAGTTATATTATGGTAGGGAAGTCCTTTGATAGATAGCAACACTATTATAGACATGTAGAGATAGTGGTTGCTCTCATGTGGGGTGACTGGGAAGGTTAAATAAATAACACTCAGGACAGGGACTGAAATAGACTAAGCTTAGTCAACACTGGCCATGGTTACTTAGGGGACCACAACACTTTCAGGTTGTCTGGAACAATCTCCAGTTTATACACTTATTGTCTTGCCACCTCATTACCAGCACTATTTACTACTCTCAAAAGTACCGAGTCGGAAACTTCACTTGAGGGTGTCATCCCCAACAATACTATCATTTATACACCATCTTGCATCATCGAGTTCTTGGTCCAGATGCTGTGCAGGTTTAAGCATGGTGAGAAGGTAGGAGGCCCAACAGGTGAGGAAGCAAGGGACATGCTGTGCAGAGGAACTGAGGCATGCTGCTACCTGGTGAAGAATGAGGTGGGTCAGCCTGCATTTTAGAATCACCATGAGAATCTCTGAAAACACTACCCTGCATGCAAATTTTGATTGGACTATTGTGGGGTGAGCCAGAGACAATGTACCTGCAAGGCAGGGGGCTAGAGAGCAACGTGTGTTCTAAAAATAAAGTTCGTTTCTGCTTGATAAGTGGCTCGTGAATTGTGCCCAGCCAGACTGCGGCACAGGGCTACGGTGGTGCTGTCAGAGTCTGGAGGAGACTG